AAAACTTTGTTGAATCAAAGAATTTACAGCCAGAAATATAATATTTTCTTGAATACTAGAAGGGTGCGGGTGCACTATTAAAAAAATCCCGTAGAATAATAAATGTTTAAAATGTTAATCAAAATGCAACGTAGAAAAAACCCTTTTCCACCGTTTCTGAAAGGCTCATCAACCCTTTCAGAAATTCTTCAACAAAGGATTATTAAAGAGTTTATGAACTTTAAATACTCTGCTGAAAACGTTTATTCAAGGGTTGATAAGATTAATAAATTCTTAACGAGTTTCTTATACGTTGCACTATCATAAGCCTCTCGTTAAGGTTCTTGATAATCATAAGCCTGCTCATTTAGTCTCCAAAACTCTTTCTGAAACGGTTGATGAAAATAATATACCCGCAGCTAATATGTAAAATCGATATTTGGAAGCGTTCATGAACATCACCAATGGTTAATAAGGTTTATAATAAGGTTTATGAAAGGGATTGTTAACTTCATCAACTATTCTTAGGATTGTATGTGGAGGTGTGGCTATCGTCGATGCTAATGAAAACAATATTAATACCCACACCCTTCTTGGACAGAAGATTAAACTTTTCATTCAGTCTGCATAAAAAGGCAGAAATACTTTGCAGTATCAATCAAATAATTGTAAAAAAATTCCAGATATAACAAAACCAAGAAATCTTCGAAATAATTTTTTTCATTCAAATGATTTTTCAACAACTGTTTTTCATGGATATGCTATATAAAAGTATACAATTCTCTTGTTTCAGATTACAAAAAAGTATTGGATTAAGCTTGATCGATAATGAAACTTTACGCATTTAAAATGTGATCACGACTTTTGGGACATATTTTATAAATAAAAACTAGTGTCACAAGAAGAAATACTTAATAAATCACAAAAGAGACCATGAAAAATTCAAATACACCCGGTTGAGTCTTTGTCTGAAATAGTATTCTAACATGACTGATCGAAATTTCCGCCCGTCATGCATACTTTTCCTAAAGATGCGTTTGACAGGTGTCATGGCACATGACAGGATCAGACGTTTAGTGATAAGCGACCCATTCAGGACTACAAAAAAGTATATGCTAGACGTTCAGACTAATCGTAGATCGGAAGTTTTTGAGAAGACTAGACAAGTTAAATCGAGATGATGTCCACTCGAAAAAAATTCAAAATTGAATAAGTAAGGACGCCAAACTCGATACATACGACGAGGTTTGATCTTCTATAGTGGCCGAGTTTGGACTAGTCTGAATTGAAATAGGTAAGGCAAAAGGTTAAATTCGAACAAACATACAACATGTCATTAATCCATCGTTTAGACGATCAAGATATACGATCTAGAGAACAACTTCTATTCGTTCATAATCATTCTCAGACAATATTTAATACAATTTTTGCATTTTCCAAGTTTTCATATGAATGAAAAATCCCTTAAATGTTTTAGGTTTTTCTGGAAAAGTTTTTGTCTGCTCATTATGCATTAAGAATACTCAATTTATTTTCAAAAAAATTTAATGCAAAAATAAACTGAAATAAAATATAGAATGAAACACATTTACAGCATTATTTATTTGTTTTTTTTCTTAATTTATTTTATATATCTAATAAATTTTTGATCGAATACATAAATTGACATTTCTCGTTGAGAGACAAACATTGCGCTTCGAATTTCCTTATGATTATTTACATTTCGATATGCTTTTGCACTTTTAAAATATCGAAGTACAAAATATGACAAGACAACAAAATAGAAACAAACAAAAATACTGTCGATCGTTTGCTTCAATAAAGAACTACTCTGATTGCTATTTTAATTAGAAAAGAAATTCATGGCATTGATGTTGATCCGCATGCATATTCATATAAATTTAATTAATTATCATTAGTTTACGTAACTGTGATAGATCAAACTATACTTATCCATCACTCACTCATGAATTTTTATTAAAAAAAAATGAAAACCCTTGAGGACGGAGGGAAAACTTACATTCGACGGTGATTCTTGGTTGGTTTTCAAGAATGCCTAACGAGAAATCGTTTGTTCTCATTATCTGGAACAGATCTATGTTCGAATTCCGATGGAACCATTCTTTTCATCGACATATAAAAATCCTGAATAATCGTAACAGTCATATCATTTATTCTATTTTGAACAGCACCCAATACCGAGGTTTCGAATGGCTTGTATACGTAGCTTTCAATTGCCCATGAAAATAGTCGTTTTTTATTTCTAACGAAAGTTTTTTAAGATTTGAACTTGTTAAGCTATTATTCTTCTTCGCTGTTCTTTTTGGTTAAATCAATATAGCGATCATTTGAAGAATATCATAAATAACATCGAGGAAATTTTTATCAGAATATTTTAGGTTTCGTCGTCGTTTGGTTGAGGACGATACGTAAGAGATGATATTTTCATCATCATCATCAAAAGAATCCAAGTTCCATGAACTGGAGTGTTATTCAGCCTACTATCAATAATTTTTCAATTACTAAAATTGTTTTTCATTTTAAAAAGAATTTGTTAGAACAATCTTTTTGTATAAGATTAAACTATGAGAAACGGCAAAGCTGCTTTATTATTAAACAATTCAATTTGTGTAACCTTTTTGTTGTGAGATGGCTATATTTTGAAAGTTCAATATCACGATAAAGAAACATTTAGTTTTGTTGAGAATTCGAAAAGAATTCATCAGCTAGCAGGGACTTATCTATGAGTTGAACTTCAAGTCAAAATTTTTCCATTCGATTTTTTAAAATTTTTGAACAATATGTGGAAAATTTAGTAAAAAGATCATAATTATTCACCAATAGGTCATAGCCCTGAACTATTTTAGGTTTTTTTTTGTTATGTCGATCAAATCATCTACATAGTTGATGACTTATGTCAATCTCTTTGAAAAAAAGATTTAAGACAGAATCATATATACTTATTGTTATTGTGTGTTTAACCAATTTATTTACTTCATCTTATAGTCATCGAGTAAAAGAATATAAAAAACTCATCTGATTTATATTAATTATTGTTGAGATTGTAACTCAGTTCTACGATAGTCTCAATTTATGACAACAAATAGATGTAATCATTATTTTTTTTTTTTTCTTTGAAAATTTAAATATCGCATTTCTAAATAGTTATTACATGAATTTGCATGATTTTCAATCACTCTTCATCGAATCAGGTTTCGTCTATCAATAGTATTCATGACATACTACTCTTATATGATCTCTTTCTACAGTATCTTACGATTTACTACAAATCTTGTTCATTACGGTTTGTTCTTCGTTGCAAGCTAGTGACCATGAAGCGTCTAATGTCAGTGTTTATTGTCAGAATGAGATGAAAGGTTAACAAGAAAATGAATAAATGAAGATAGCAAAGATTCTTGTTCGTCTCTCTCTGCAAAATCAAGAGGTCTATATAACTGTAGTCTTTGAAAATCACTGGATTTATTTAGTTTATGCAACATATATTTTTATTCAAATCTGTAAGACCACAGATAATCCCAATAGAAAGAAGTATCGAATAATTCTACTTGAAAAGTTATTCTTGAACATGTGAATGAAGTTGTATCGTTATATACTAAACATCCGAGTTTCATGGAACTGTCATATGCTATCATTCATGCATACGTGAAATACACGTCTCTTTCCCTTTATTTTCTATGAATATGTTTTGTAAATGTTAGATCATAAGACAGCACGTAATTATGTAGCAGAGATTTGCCAAGGATGGTATTCCGTCACTATCTATCACTTACACATGTTTTTAAAGAAGATAGTTACTTATATCAATTATGTTCTAAGTGTTTAATCCCTGTCTGTTCACGATTTATTTCTGAGTTTTATTATATTTGTGAGCGTGATATTAATGAAGAATATGACATTGACATTGTAGCTTTCTAAAGAGCCTTGATGATTTTCTAGTTAATAATCTTATATTGTTATTTTTGTTGCCAACATTGCTATTGATGATAACAAATGTCCGATGGTAATTTTGAAACAACTAAATCTGTTATTGATACTACAATCAACTTCATAAAAATTTCTCTTTTCACCAAGTGTTAAAATAATAATTATTCTTTTCATGTGTTCAATTCATTTTATTTAGGAATATTGCATTTTGCAATTATGTTGTAAATAGAAAATAACGTTTTATTGAAATCAATTCATAGAACATAAAGATTGTGACAATAAAAATAAATTCTAGTTCTAAAGAGAGTTTTAAATTTTACACATGCAAGATTTTTGTTTACATCTGAAAGATGTTTTCTGAAAAGTCATACTCTATCATGAGTTTTTCTTTTTTTTAAATTAGAAAAAAATATATGATCATTTATCTAATAATATATTATTATTTTTCTGAGATTTTATCAAAGATAAAAATAAACATTACTCTTATATATTCATAGGACAAGAACAAATTCTTTCAAACGTAATAGACTTCACATATATGATAATAATGTTGATTAAATATTCCAATAACCAACAATATAAAATATTTTATTGATAATTTATCAGAATAGTTAAAAACTTCATTAGAAAGATAATAATCAACTTTGATTATTATACTAGTTGCATATTTCGATCAAAACCTTGTAACTTTTACTGCCATCTAGATTTTTAATAATTAGAATTACTAACTTTTTTGATAATTCTTTATATTTCACTCATATATTTAAATGAAAATTTTAATAAAACTTCATTTTAATTTACTGATAATTATCTATTTAAAGTCACGTGTATGTCTGCATGACAGATGTGTCTAGAAGCTTTGTACTCTATACTCAATTACCCTGATAGAATAAATCGTCAAGCAATGACTTTTTTCTTTCCTTTCTGTTTCTATATTTATACGACAGATTCGATAGAAGAAATACCGAAAAATTATCTTTATATTGTTGCGTACTTATTGACATAAGAAGAAAACGTAAAATACAAAAGAATCATTTCTATTCTAGTACGTTTAACGATTACTATATTTCTACAAAATGTCGTCAACTACAGATAATACAAATAATGATCCAACTGTTACTATTCTACCTGGAGATTCAAACCAAGTCATTCCAGCTGGTGCAGTTGGTCACAATCCACAAAGTACTCTCAATCCGAATGGTAGGTTTATTATTTTTTTTCTCAGGAGTTTTGTGATATATAAAGTGCGTAGAAAAAAGTGCATATATCTGAATTTTCAAGAAAATGTCGTTTTCATTTTGCCAGTGGATTTGGTTTGAAATTTTGCTTTTTCTTTTTGTTTTAGTTGCATTTTTACACTTAGATAGATTTGTACTAGTAGTACACATCTGATTTTCTTTTGCTTTTGCTTTATCATCACATTGTAATATTGATTAGTTTATATTTAGTTCCACATACTAAAGCCGACTTAGATAATCATGCTAATCAATTGAATCCAAATAATCCACGATATGCTGGTCATCAAGAACGACTTGCTGCTGCAGCAGCTAGCCGTGAAGCAGCAGCTCTACATCAAGAAGCTCAAGCTGCATTTCAATATGCTACTCAAATGGAAGCTGGTACATTTCTTTCATTGAATAAAAGGTGTTTTTTTTTAAAGTTTTATTATTTTTAGCTGCTTTAAAAGCACAAGCAGCTGCTAATCAATTGCATCAAGAGGCTATACTCTGTGCACAACAAGCCAGTATTGGCTTGAACGCTCGTAGAGGTAAGTTGGTTTTTTCATTTGTTTTTTATTTTATTTTATATTTCCATCATGTAATAGGCAGTCGAGGTCGAGGACGTGGTCGTGGTAGAGGTAATCTTTAAAGTTGTGTTGCTTATAAATAATACATTTCTATTTGAAGGCCGAGGTCGTGGACGAGGTGGTCGTGGTGGTAGTCAAGGAAATCAGAGTGATCTAGGAAGTCAAGGCGATCAAGGAAGTCATGGTGATCAAGGAAGTCAAGGTGATCAAGGAAGTCAAGGTAGTCAAGAAGGTTGGAACCATGATAATCATCCAGATGAAGGTGATTATTATGAAGGTGATGAAGAAGGTTATGACGAAGGTAAAAAGAAAAAAAATCAATATTGGTTGCTATTTATTTTCTATTTATCGAATAGAACATCATGAAGAACATGAAACGACTGAGAATAATAAGCAACAATCAACTGCTGCTGATCAACACCCACTACCACAAAGACAAGTAAATCAATCATAAAATTGATCTATACATATAGAACTAATTGACAGAAAAGTTTTTTATTAGTTTTGTTTTTTGTGTACATTTATTGTTAATCTAGCTGAGTTTGTTTTTAATTTATTCGTTATTTATCTTTTTTGATTAAAGATGAAGTTTTAATAGTAACGTTAATTTATCTTTTTAATAATTGACTAGAATTAGAAATATTTCGTAAAACAATTTGATACCATAAGTCAGTCAAATTTGTTTCTTATCAATAATATAAAAAAAAGTTAAAAATAGATGATATCGCTATAAATGAGGATTCACACTTAAATACATTTGAAAAAAGCTGTTAGCGCAATTTCTATGCAATTAGAATGTGAAATACGATATAACTGCTGTCGTTAATCAGGAAGTAATTGTTTTATTCTATATATCTTGGAATATATTTCTCCACCATTCTTTTACTAAAACCAACAGAAATAAAATAAGGAAATAATTAATATATTGTAACAAATCGTTATTTATATACAGTCTGTAATCGTAAGTCAACAATGTTTGTCATGATATATGATGGTTTTTTGTTAGTCCGTGTGAGAGAAGGAAGATTCACATTTCTACTCTATCCAATTCAACTCTCCTTTTGGATTGTGCTTTACAATAAGCCAATATTTGATTAAATAAAATTGAAATCATTTATTATAAACTCTCCACTAAAATTCAGTATAAATTTAGATGGATAATAATTTATTACATCAAAAAACTTCTGGAAAGTTCTTTTTTTGTTGGTCCTTGAAATATTACATACGTAAATATATAAATACGCGTCAGGTAAATATTTAATAAGCACACATGACAAGAAAAAAAAATTTTTTTTTTATCTGTTTGTTTCAACTAATATTTCAATAAAACAATTTGTAAGTGACGTATTCTTTAAAAGAAACTTCATATACATATGTTATCGAAATAATAATTAATAGAAAATTCAGTTTGATATCTTATTTTAAACATTAATGCCTACTATGAATTTATCTATTTGATAACATCAAAAGAATAAAAGAGATAGATGTGAAGATATAAGACTGATTTTCTGTTTTTGCAAATAAACTTCAAAACGATGCAATCAAAGTGATTCATGAAATAAGATTGAATGTATTTCATATAATCGTTGGCATCAGTTAATATTTGTACGTCATCAAAACTACTCATGAGATCTTTCAAGAAAAATCACAAAAAAAAAATTCATCACTATATCACGTGTAGTCAATATGCGTTTTTCTCATTATTGTTTTTCTTCTATATCGGACCAAAATCGAAAAAATCATTGATCTATGATGATAAAAAAAACTATTTCGCAGAAGAGAACAACAAAGGGTCATTGTTTTTTCTTAAGACAACAATGCTATTTTAAATCAAATTTGTCGCAGAAAAATTGAGTCATTTTACTCGTGTATAACACTTTAGTTTCTAAAAAAAACTATCAACCAACCAAATTTATGCTTTATATGAATCAACAATTCATATACTATTTAAAAGCATACGAAAAATACCCTAGAATATTTTACCTTCTTTCTGTATACATAAAATTGCTATGCACTTTAAATATGCCTCAAATGATCTGTCCTTATTTGATATGTTGTTCTAGCTACATCTTTCGTTTAATTTTGATTCGTCATAGTAATAAACAATTTTACGTATAATAAATAGTAATGATCAATTTTGTAAAGCATAATCTAAAACAACTAATTAAAATTTTGAATATCTTATTCTAATGTATGATTATTTTCTTATTGCATTTCTGGAGTTCACATTTTAATTCCGTGTTTTCAAGAAACTAATAAATTCTTATTTCTCTGTTACCATACAATTTATTTTATGTAAAAGAAAACTTATTCATGAAAGATACTCGAAAATTTAACTTTTCTTAGATTTATCATCAAGGACAATCTTATTAGTTGTATCAAATATATTGATAGCAAAGAGAATACTAAGTTTGAGGTCAAAATTCTTCTCTTCATTTGTACATTCACTCAATTTATATGCACAAACTCATATTTTTATCCCATTCTTATTTTACTTTTTTTGTTCTAGTTCAAAATGATAATTTTTAAAAATTATTTATTCATTAATAGATTGTATGCTAGTTGTAGATAAATTATTATAATCCATGATCGATACTTCTATTTACTTTATCGAATTTTACCTCTATCAGTGTAAACATTTCCGTTAAGATAATATATTAAAGTACATAGTCTGGACGATATGTTGTCTCTATTAAATCGAGCTATCCGCACTGAATATCTTATCCGAGCTAGTATTACTTGTTTCTTTTCACTTAATTGTATTTTGCGAACATGTTTCTCTCGAGTTAACCACAAAATGTCTACAATCGATAAAATAAATGTGAATGACTACCAGTAAAAATCATCTAATTGCGAAGAGATTATATTGTTTTACACATATGACGGCAAAATCGTATGAAGCAAAACAAAAAAAATACGTTCTTTTTTTTGGCTCTTTTCTATCGCTTGCCTTCTTCTATTACGTCTACACTCTCTTTAATCAAAAAAATAAAAATAAAACGATTAAATGAAATATTAATATTTATCATTTGTTTTAACATAAAATTTGTTTATTCACGTAAATCATCTATTTCTTCGATCTACTGTATATAATCAAAACACTATGAAGAATGTATCAATAGATGAGACCTGTACTTGCACAATGTGCAAGAACAACAATACTCTAATGACTATTGAACAAGTAAACTAAATATATTTTTATCTTTAAAATATACTGACAGTTGAACCTTTCACATGATGTTTTAATTAAACTAAATAATAAGCTATATGTATATTGTTCACTCATGTGGAAACTATAAGAATGAATACTCGCCGTTTGAGTTCATATTAGTAACTGTTTTACTGAATTTTTGACTTGAAATTCGCTCAGAGATAAGTCTAATGCCTTTGAGAGAATATTCTTTTTGTCAAGATATTCAATTCTCAAGTAAGCTCGATTTTTATGGCAAACGACCGTTTTTGGGAAACTCAATATCTCGACAAAAAAAACATTTTTTTCCACTGAAACTTTCAGTATATTTCCACAGTTATTAGACCTAGCTATGCACAAAGTTTCAGATTGAAATTCAATCATTTCAGTTTTTCTGTAACTATCTAAAGCTTGATAACATACTATACAACGATATATGCAACTTATTAATCGTTCTCGTCAATCAGTAACTCTTTTTAAAGGAGTAAAAAAGAATTTTCAATATTTGTTTAGTTATTCATCGAACGAATAATACATAAAGATTGATTTCTTGTTGACAGTAGTTCGAGTGAGAGTGTGGACATAGGCTCAATTGTTGTGTCATCCATCGTTAAATAAATCTTATTTATATTTCAGTGTTTTCATGCTGGTCATAAATTATCTCTATCCGAATTAATTTATTTTATTAATTTATCTTTAACAAAATGTGATCAATTAAGTGATCAAATCGATGCTAGTTTTACATCCTCATGTTCAAATGAATATCCTCGTTCATTAATAATGTCTCTTCTTAAACATTATGCATCATATCATCCTAAAGATTGGCATAAATATGAATGTTGGACTGGCTCTGAAACTTATACAAGAAATTTAATTGCGCATCATTCGAATCGTTTTACATTAATGCTTGTCTGTTGGAAAGGTGGCCCATCACCTATTCATAATCATGCAGGTAGTGATTGTTTAATGACTGTTCTACGAGGTATAATACGTGAAACAAAATATCATACACCAAATAATGAATATAATGTTGAGAAATTAGATGTAAAAGACATAGTGGAAATGCAAGAAGGTGAAGTACATTTAATTAATGATGATATTGGATTGCATAAAATGGAAACATTAGATGAAAATAAACAAGCAGTTACTTTACACTGTTATATTCCTCCGTATTCAGATTGTTTTACGTTTGATATGCAAAATAGTGAGATTAAAACAAATATTGTACATACAACATATGATACAGAATTTGGAAAAACTGTCTCATAATCGACTGTAAAATTTAAAATAATCATGTTTTTTTGTGTCTGCAATATTGATTGATGTTATGTAAATCAAATTTTTAAAAAAAAAAAACGTAATTTTACTGATTAAATAAAATCAAGCAATTAGTCTTTTATTCATTGAACTTTCTTAGTACAAAGATGATGATGACAGCAGAATGATGAACATTTTCGAATCTCAAACGTTGCTTTAATTGATTTCGGAATAAAATTGCTTGTAATCAGCACTATGTTTTTTTTAGATTCTATTATGACTAGGGAGTTGGATAAACTATAATATAATCAGCTTTCTTAGTAGAAAATGTCCTTATCAAAGAAAGGGACAAATATAAAGTCGTAAGACGAAATCATCATATGCATTTTATTATAATTTAAAATTGTTATCATACTCTAGGAGTCTTAGTAGTTAAGTCTCATGTTTATACGAACATATACCATCAATTTCTAGCTAAAAATAATTTAACTTAATCATCGAATTACTTATACTAAAAAAAAGATTAAAATATAAGATATGATGAAACTAATATTATTGGAAATTAGAACATATCAAAATTTATCCCAAATTAAAATTTTATTTTGTGGATTTTTTTTATAGTACTAAATGAACAGAATCATTTTCTTTTTTTTTATTATTATTAAACTTAGAATCTCTTTGCATGACAGAGTCTTGACATAAGTATCTTAAATACATAAAAATATTCAAAATTCTAATGGTTCTGTCTACCATGTCACAGATCTATTTATTATACGTTGCTGCTAATTTACGAGAAGATAAATATTTGGAGTCGAACTTGGAAAAATTTGACTTCGTAGGTATCTAATATCAACAACGTCTATCATGATCTGTGAGAAGAGGAAGGATAGGGAGTAGAAATTTCTACCAAATATGCTTCAGCAGTCCTTTGAGATCGTGTTTTACAAAATAGTCTGGGTTTATGGGATAGTCAAGATATTCGAATATTTTTCGCTCATACATTGTGACTTGACGTGTATAAAATTCGAGTTCAAAAAAATAATCCTAGTCTTTGGATAAACTTTACATAAGAATCTATACTTAATTATGTCATTTATTGTAATTAATTTTTTCGATATAAAAAAAATTCAATATCATATTCTTTTTATGTACATAAAATACTTAAAATTTGGGCATATGTTTTTGTGTATGATTTAATGGATGAAAAAATTTATCTTTATATCGATAATATTGTTGAAGACGAATTTTTCCATAATTAACATAATCAAATGTTGATATAGGCTTTGTAAGTAATGCTTGTAAAAATGCCCATAAAGCCCAATAAAGATGAACAGGTGCAATAAGTAATTCACATAAATCACATAAATATTCTAATTCATGATTGGTTGGTTTAGATTGATCACGTATAATATTTGACAAATTTAATTTAGTATGTTTAAGATATTCACTAAGAAATATTTTTTGTATAAAACGTTCAGGATATTTTGTTTCATAATCATCTTTTGCTAATTCAAGAAAATATGAAACAATATCAATAAGATAATAATTATGTGAACAATGATCAAAATCAATAATTGATATGAATTTTGTTTTTAAATCAAATAAAAAATTATTTATTTTCATCTTAGTAAGACATAATACAATAGGAATATTAAATAAAGACCAATTTTTTTCGAAATTCAATTGAATATGATCAATATCAATTGAAATTTCAGTCCATGATATATTTCTTAATTTTAATTCAAGTTGAATCAATGTTAATGGAAGTATTGGAATAGTATTTAAACCAATAACTGATTTTAATGATTTAAAAATATTTTTATTATTACTATTATTAAATTTTTCATTTTCTTTCGTCATTTGAATAAGTCGATTATGTAAAATTGAATTTTTATCAGTAAATAAATCAATAAAACTTTTAAGTTTATCAGATAATTGAGGTCCATGAAATTTTATTGGTATTGAATGAATTTCAGCCAATCTTCGAGATATTAATTGACTATATAAATCAATTATATTACAACAAAAAATATTTTCAACATAAATAGTAATACTTACTGAGTTTGTTGTTCTTTTATATTAAGTATATTTCCTTGAATATAATTACAAAAATAACCATTAATAAATGTTAATAAAATATGTGGTGCTATTTTATAATGACTTAAATAATGAATTAAATGAAGTTGTTCTTGATGATCAGTATATACATCTGAATTTGTTGGATAAATTTTAAGAACAATGCTAGACTTTTCATTTTGTGTATCTTTCAAAAATACGACATAACGAATAAGATAATCGTCATGTGGCATTTTTTTAAAAACTAATTTATTTGTTATCCATTGACGTTTAATTGAACAAATAAGACGACTAACAGTTGTTTCTAAAGAATTAATATCAACTATAACTGGCTCATATAGAATTGTAGATGATGTGGACATTTTTTTGTTCTTGCAATACACGTAAATATGTGCATTTTACGTAAATAATCAATCAAGTGTAACATAAAAAAAACAGAATAGCAAAAAAGCGTACAGAGAATTATCTTTTCATTGTGCACTTAAAAACCCAAGCTAAATATAACTTAATTGATGATTATGAACATTTTCATGGTCAATACCTATTTCCAAATATTACTATTTTCGCCAAAATAAAATGATGACCAATGTTTTTCCTTTTCATAATTCGAGGACGAAATCAGCTAGCATCAGACAGTATTCACCGTTTGCAGAAACAATGTAAGGAAAGTAACGATAAGTGCTCAATTTAACTATCAGATGAATAGTTGCCCAAAACTTTGAACAACGCTTTCAGAAGACTTTTCCGATGAGCTTTTGGATTCCAATAAAATCATTCTATAGAAAACGTTGTTCTTTATCGATCTATGCAACATCTAGCTCACTAATTTCACTCTATTCAAAATTTTTAAGAATCTTTCTGAAATCACTATAGCAATAATTTTGATTTACGGCTATTTACACGATATATTGAAAAATTTTCTAAGTTCATTAGGATCGTTATAGTGATTTCAGATGACTTTGAAACCAAAAATGAACATCACCACTCGATCCCGCATCCCTCATAACTTTTGACTAGAGTGAAATAGTGAGCTGGGTGTTGCATGAATCAATAGAAAACAATTTTTTCTATCAAATAGTTTTAGTTTGTGCATACAATAGCAGTAAGAAACTTGTTTTCAGTCGTTGTATAAGATACGAAAAGCTAACTTTGCACATCTCTAAGATACAATAGACTAGCTGATAGCTAGAAAAATAATAGGACTAAAATTCAATGCAATATGAGAGATAAAAAAAAGAACTATATATATGCTTCAAGAAAATGAGTTCTTAGGCTAAAAAAACCAAGCACAATAAAATGATCATTTTCTGTAATTTAATAAAACTAGTGACACTAATGCGAGAAACGATTACTGTTGAGTGTTTGAATAGTATAGCCTGTGAAAGAGGATGAACATTTTTTTTTTCTATATTTATATCAACTTTAAAATATTTATCCATCAGTGAAATGAAAAATAAAACCAAGAATGAGATAGACTTTTCTTTTATATTAGTGCTTGTTAACTTCTGCATTCATTTTAATGTAATTTTCGACACTGAAATACGATCAATATTAGCTGATCTTTATAGACTATACAAGTTGCATTCTGTAGTAATCATCAATTCCTAGTTGATTAATGGACATACCGAAAAAATTGAATATAAATAAGAATATTCCATAATATGTTGTATTATTTTTGTTTAGATTAAAATAGTTACGATATCATGATAATTCGATTAGAGAACTATTAACAATAAATAACTAAATAATTATTAATTATTTAATTTTGATTTTAATCTGTAATAAACATAGATTAATATCTATACACTAATCGTTGAAGACATTAATTCATTTTAAAAAATATACGAGTCGAGTCTATGAAAATGTTCATGTTTTTGTCTTCATTCTATGTAGATCTGATCTGTGAATCTTATATATGAATTTATATATGATTCAATAAATCTAGTTCTTCAAAGATATTCGAAAACTTGAAATGTAAAAGACATGCAGATATTTACTGCTTTACATTTTACCATTTTACTCGATCACTATTTTGTTGTTTCTATTTATACATTTGAACCTACTCATTGATCTGTTTTCTGTTGCTATTTTTAATAAACATGATTTCACGTTCTCTCTCTTTCTTCTTTATCATTTTACTTTTTTTTAGTGTTACACAGTCTTTTTGTTAAAAATTGCATTCATGTTTATATACTTTTAATTAACTTATTTAAAGTACACATCTCTACTGAATGTTTCTCGTTTCAAACTGAGTAGATGCTATATGTTTGCCATAGTTAGATGTATGTTATATGCTAAGATGATGCACTTTCTCTTCGCTGATTTTATTTCTTATGTCATGTAAAAAAAAAGTGAACATAAAACAGATTTTTATAGTCAATTAGTATTTAATTTATAGGAAGTCTTGAAAATTCGTCTGAAAAATTTAAGTGAATAATTTTTGTGCATATCAAGCGATTTAATTGCTTTTTTAAAAAATAATATGGTAGTACATTGTTTTAAGTTTTATTTCTTATAATTTGGTTTACAACAAACATAGAAGATGATTGCTATGAATTAAAACACATACACATCATTTTCGAAATCTATTAAAAAATCCGGTCGAAAATTTATTTTCGAATTAATGTATTTTTGTTATCGATTCTTGTTTTGAATTCAACCTAATCTTTATATATCTTATACACATAGATTTTCTCTTTATATTTATAAATAAACCATTTGAATGCAAACAGACTTGGTCCAAGAAAAAAAAAACGAATTTTCTGGTTCTTGATATTTTCTAAAATTGGCGTCCAAGGCTGTTTGTGACACCTAGAACCCAAAATTTCTGACAAAAATGAAATCGATCACCGACTCGGACATTAGAACCTGTAGAACCAAAATTTTTTACTGATAACTGTGAAGCTATTCGAGTATTAAATTTAGTATAGACATACATGAGAGTTATAAATATAAAAAAAGCTGCCCGAGCTCTGACTAAGAGCGACATATAAAACTGAAATTTCTTTTTATGTGTAACTACATCGCAAATATTTGCCCAAAATTTCAGCTCAACATGCTTCTTTATTCACGCAAATATTACACAATTGAATAATAGTTATGACTTATCCATCTTTTCTCTTTGTTACTTTTTCTTTCAAAGAATTGGCTCTTTCAAAATTAATCAACAATAACAATCTCGAACAATGAAATATAATTTAGAAATTTCTAGAATAAAAAATTATTATATTAGTTGTCTAATACACTATTATAAGATCACCGATTCCTAGGATACTTTATTCAAAATGTACTTGGATAAAAACAAGATTTTGCTCTCTCAATATTGCTGTCTTTGTATTTCTTTATTTTTCTACATGTCATCACTGTTCAAGCCGTAAATGCTTAATCTAAAATGAAATATATTACAGGCACCCAGTCCAGCGTCAACTTTCTAAATTACTTTTTAGCAAAGCTAAACTGTATCTCAATGTTCACAAAAAGCATCAGGATCTATAAAAATAAGTTCCTTGATACTGTCCCATGCGTTACCTTCTTCTAGTATATGATAAAATACGTCAAAACCTAGTAATACAATAAAAAAGGATAACTTTCTTGAAATGGTCTAATTAACATGAAAAATTTTATTGTTACTTTTAGTCGATTGAACGAAACAAAGTTATTGAAAGTCTTTTAATTAGACATAGTAGACACACTTTTTCGCTATTTGACTTCAAAATATACTGCTTTGGAAGAGATTTAAGAATTTTCTACAATAGTACGAATTCAAAACTGATGATTTTAGTGGAAAAACATAAAGATACGAAGCGGATACTTTGTTTTTCATACCTTACCACATAAGAAAAAAATGGCAAGAATCATATTTTTTTTTTGGTTTGAAAATTGATGGCTTTAGCATTTCTTAAACCCCTCTACCACGGAATAGAAACTCAATTGGCTTCTATTACGACCAACTTTTTATTGCATCGTAACTATGGTTTCATTAGTTTAAGAGTATAGAACTGTTCAACAATTAATAGATCAAACCTTTCAAACTATGTGACCATTTTCAGAATATCTATAATAATTTCCGTTGAATTAAAGATTAACTATCAGTTCTATCTCATTCCCATATTACTAAGTAGACAAAATAATGAGTTTCGTACATTACTTTTCACATTCACATACTAGATGAATCATTCTAGAAGAATGTTTTTACAGAACACTTTTTCTCATTACTTTATTCAATCTACTTTCACTTGTATGGTTTAATGATTTGCACATGTGTGATAGAAATAGGTGTAAATTCTGATGGGCGTAATTTTATATACACTTTTTTTGTATTTTGAAAGCCTTCACATTTGCCATTTTAAATAATGCAACCGAATCAATATAAGCAAAAATTATATTTTATTCGAATCTCAAATCAAATAACACGAAAAAAAGGTTTGCTGTCAGTAACGTAATTTCAACAACAAAAAAAAACTTCTTTCATTACGAGTCGATTGTCAAATATTTCTTGTGTAGCAAAAATCACGGATTCTATAACTTTTTTCTTATTCTATGACTGAAAGGAAAAAAAATCAATGAAAAATACTTGTCAAGACTTTAATTGCTGCAATCTTTTATGAAGTGAAATGTGGTACTCATATAGATTACTAATGTATCATAGCAATGACAGTCTTCTGTATTAATTGAAAATTTCTATGTTAAGTATACCTAATTCCGACTTTTTCTTTTGCAAAAAATCAAAATTTGAATTAAAAAAGATGGTCTAATATGAGTTTGGAAGACATCAAACATTATGTGATGAGCAAGCTACGCATTTTTTTTTAACTATTTTTTTTACTCAGTCAAACGTCTTCGTCTTGAAGTATCCATTGTGAAAACGACAAAAATCTTGTCTAGATAATTAAAGAATACGATAATGACATATGCTTATTTTCATACTGTCATTTTTTTCTAGGCATTGAAATATAGAAAAGTTCAATATCAATGCGGATTACAATTATCTATTAATATCAAATGAATTGATTAGAATGAGTATTCAACAGCTTTTCTTTTCTTTTTCTTGTAATACAAAAGCGGTCTTGAAAAAACGCCAATTTTTTAAAATTTGATTTAAAAAATAATGATAAGTGTCAATTAATTACACATAATCCTTGATTCAAAAGCTAATAGAATGGAGCTAGATGAATCATTCCAATTTTTAATATACAAAACTTTAGAATTCAATCTAATAAACATTCTGTTGATTTCACTTTGAAACAATGTATTTCTTTTACAATGTTTTTTCGAAATTTCATCAAGAGAACAGTGACAATAAAAAACTGAAGTTTTATCGAGAAACATTATGTTCGATTGCCATTGGATTTAATTCCATTAACATTCACAAGATATGAATCGTCTACTGTCCATAAAAACAATATTTCTCTGTTCATTTTGAAAATGTTTTGAGAACGGTAGCACATATACTCGTATTCTATTATTTTTATTGTTGAAAATGAAAATTAAATCCTATATTTTTTTTTCACTTTCATTTTTGTTTGTTATATAAAACAATAACAATCGTGCGTTTGACTGTCTTTTCTATTGAGGACAATAATGCAAGCATTATATTATCTCGTGTACATATGGCTAGGTATAGCTATTGAAGCATCTCACTATCGAGGCGGTACATTTACATGGAAACCTGTAAGATAAGCTATTCCACTAAATAGTAACTTCAACTTTATGGTTTTCTTTTTATAGGTTAGTCCACAAGTACCCAATCAAAATCCAGTAAGTATATCATTTACTCAACGACATGCTTGGCGTCGTGGATCTTATTTTTGTGATCAAACTACTATTAACAGTGGTGGTACAGTCGGAGCTGGTAGTGTATGTTGTCTTGGCAGTCAGTGTGGTTCATTGGGTTGTCCACTGAGTACTGCTGTACCATGTACTGACTTTAGTGTTTCACAAGATATGAGTGCTGGTCAAGCATCATCAATATTAAGCTTGTCTCCGAACATTAAGGTTGCCTTAACATTCACTGGTGGTGCTTGGATATCGCTTAATAGTGGTGGTGGTAATTGGGCTGTGACTACACAAATAAGGTATTACAATTTAATGAGTATATTTTTTCATGTTTTCAAAACGAGAATTGTGAGACTTAATCTACAGTTCTCTAGGAAGAGACATTTTTTTAGTATTTCTTCTTTTATTTTCGTTTACTTTTTTCTTATATGTAATAACTTATGTGTCTACATATTGGCATTCCAATACGATCTATCTCAAGCTGAAGTTTCGAACGTTCTCTTCGAGCAAATACATATTCACTCAACGGGATTATTGTCAGTTGATCAAAAACAGTATATTCTTATTTTTGTGTACAAGAGAAATATCACTATGTCTTAAACATTATACAAATAGAGGAGTTAATAATGAATATTTTAATAAAAAAAAGTTTTCAAAATTCTTAGATTTGAATTTACATGTTTATTGGATCCCGAAAATGACTTTTTCGAAGTTGCACTAAGGAAAAGATAGGTTCTTATTATGAAAGGAAACATTTTCGTATTCTAGAAACTATTTTGTTAGAATAATGAGAATTATTTTTAAATATAAAGCAGTAAAAATCAACGATTTAAAGCCAATCTGATATCATAAATAGCTATTACTTCATCAAATAGTGTTTGTTGTTCTAACAAAATAGTTCCAGTCGAATCGATATTTCTTTCGTACCGAAAATAAAAATATATTGTTTTGGTCAACTCGAAAAATCCGTATTGAATAGACATGCATTTTCTTGAAGTGAAGATAAGAAACGATAGAAGTCTTACTTCAATTGGACATATATCGTATTTGTATGCAAATATGCGGACACATAAATCATTACACATAAGAAAAACAAATGACAATAGAAAAAAAAAGGAATACTAAAAGCTGTTGTTTTTGTGAATTTGATCATTCGTGTATATCCGAAAAAATAATTTCAAGTCTAAATTTTCATAACAATTTCGTTCTACTCTTCAGCACATATATGCGAGCTGATGGGCATTATAATACTGCACCAACTTCGGCTATGGTCCCTGTGAAATTACTTCGACAAGGTTTCTCATATACATGGTTAATACCTACTGCTGATACAGATGGTGATATAGTAAAATGCCGATGGGCTAGTGCCACTGCTGTTGTACCAACAAATGTTATTGCTGATGAATGCGCTGGAATTTGTGGTACTTTTCCTGGAGCAACACTCAACTCATCCAGTTGCATGAGTACATTAAGACACTAACAATTTGCCTCTCTTCACTTCGCTTTCTTTAGTGTCTTATACTGCATCAAGTGTTGGCTTTTGGGCTGTTAGTCTAATGATGGAAGATTATGAATTTTCCTGGCAAACAACGTCAATGTATGTATGATTGTTGTATTCGTTAAAATAATTAAATCTCGTTATGTAGGTCGGCTGTACCTTTACAATTTATTGTTCAAGTCTATACATCGAGCAGTACCTGTACTATTGGTAAACCTTTATCAACTACTTCTTCAAAATACATCTTGAATTTTAATAACGCAAATAGGACCATCATATACGGGAACTCGTCCAGCTGGTGCTTGTGTTGGTGTAGATATTGGTCAAACAGTCGTGGAACAAGCCATTTTCACTGTTGGATGTTCAGGTGTAACGCTTACGGATGTGATCACTACATCACCACCTGGTATTCACATTTTATTTATAAAAATTTCATTATCGCAAATATTGATTTATAGGTATGACTCGTGGTACTATCACGCAATCATCTAGCAATCCATTACAATACACAATGTCAATGACATGGACACCAGCAGCATCAGCTTGGGGTAAGTTTTCTTTTCTTACTCCAGCTGTCTTCAGATATATCATTTCCATAAGAGGAGTAATTTTTTTCTGTATAATTTCGTAAGAATATTATCTAAAGTCGATTTTTCATATTCAAACTATCATTCTCTGCCGTCCTAAACTCCAAGTTTCTTTTTCGTCTTTAACAAGGTTCAAATCTTGTTTGTTATACACCAATCGATAGTTTGGGCCAACAAGGCAATACACAATGTGTCACTTATCTTGTTGCTGTTACTGCACCTGAACTTATCTATACAAGCTATGTCAATGGTACCATGGTATATTGATATATTTAGAACAATTACATTTTATTACTATTAGTCTCTTTGATAGTCTCCTGTAGGTACGGTTATGTCTACTCAAAATGTCTGGCGTGTTGAATGCACGAAAGCAGTTAATCGTCCATCAAGCGTAGCATATATTCGATTTTATCAAACATCAACTGCTACGCAAGTGTATGCACTTGAAGTTAGCACTGATATGACCAATGTCATCTATTCAAATTTTACTTTAATCTTCTTCACAAGCTATTCGTGGACACCTGTGAGTCATTTATTTAAAGTTTCTTGCATGTAATAAAAAAGTTCATTGTTTTGTGTTTTTTTACTAGGGTGCAAGCTATTATATTTTGTTCGATAAGTAAACTTCTTCCTCAATACGTTTCACTTTGTTCTAAGAGATTACTTAATAATATAGTGGTGTTGTAACCGGTACTGAATTTTGTGGTCCACAATCAAGACCAATAACTGATCCAAACTTTTGGCCATTTAATATTTTCAATTCAGCTGCCTATGCTAATATGACTGGAATGACAACATCAAGTACCACAACAATTATTCCAAATGTCACAACACAAGCTGTATCAACAACAACAGCTAATCCAGCTATTACCACAACTGGAATTACTGTTCCAAGCTCTACTACACCTTACACTGGTATGCAAATTTTTGTAATTCATTTACATTATTAGTTTAATATATTAGGTACTGGTCCAAGTTCAACAATCAGAACGACGACAACAACTTCCAGCAGCACATGTGAGATGCTTTACCCTAATGTATGCTTTTATCTATCTATTGATATTTTTTTTTATATAGCAACAACATCGACGACATCAACAACATCAACAACAACAGTTCCACCGGTTCAAATACTACAACCAAGTGAAATTATCAAAAAATGTCAACAACCAGTTATTCTTGGTACATTATTATCTACAACTGTTGTGGGAGTTATATCTTCAATCATTTATGGTGTTTTTATGGCTAAAATCGCAGCATCAATGTAAAGACGATCGAGTACTACAAGTCGAAGTACATAGAAACGAATTGTGAGAAACATTTCTATTCAAGACATTTACATAGTTTCTTATTTATTTTTACGTATTCAACTTTTTGCAAATGATAATTCTTTTTCTAAGATGTCAGAATTTTTCCATTGACGGCAGTTCGAAAATACAATTTTCGTACTAATCTATTATTTTTGCAGAGATATTTGTGCTATATATTAAAACAAAATGAAACAAACATTTTTGATTTTTTTCATCAAATAAATTTTTCGGTCTCTACATAACACACAATCATGATAAAATATTATTGCTTGGAGGTGACGAAAACATGTTTACAATACATTGATATATGGAAGACAAAAGACGTTAATGGAATATTTAAATGAATGAAACAATTTATAGAAGCATTTAGACATTATTTAAATTGTCCATATGAGAATTGAAGTAATCTTTCATATATGGTAATTTCATGTGCAACCAGGAGATATCAATAGAAGCTTTGGAATGCAGTTGAAGACGAGACTTAAACCCTATTCATAGAATGCTTGTGTCAATCTGATCTATTTTGTTATTACATTAACTCGAAGCTTGATTTAAGCCGAATTTAAACGCAGGATGTCCTGATAGTCAGTTTATCGAGAAAAAATTGAACATCACCACTAAGTTTTGAACAAATCGACTGATACTTCATCATTGATAAAGGTATATTCTTAGTTCATATTCATAAAAAGAAGTCAACAAAAAAAATTGTTTTGAAGTGTCAGCGTTAATCTATATGCAATCCAGGAGTTCGGCAAAAAGATACAATGTCTCCTAGCGGACAAAATCAATGACACAGTCAATTTTTTTGAGCAGTTTACTATACTAATATTGTTGGTATCGTGTGTTCATATATGAGGTTCAGAGGAAATTTTCTTATGATAATTATCTCACTATCATTTTCTGATTTACTTTACATTTTGAAAAGGCAGAGATATTCTTTCCTTCAAACTATATTTGAACAACTTATTAAATATTATCTAAGCATTCAGACATGGTAAGAAATAATGATGAGACAAGTATCATGATGCACTTTTTTTTGGTTGCAACTATACAAGAGTACATGCAATAACTTTGCAGTTTTCTCAGACAGATTTCTTTGATGTTAATAGTTACAATTTCATGACACATTGAGAAAAAAAGCATGTTTCTATGGTGTAAATATGACATTTATTATAACGACTCGGATATATATTGTTTTCTTCACAACTTGTGAAGAATGACTTTTTTTTTCATTGAAGTCAACGATGACGCTTCAAAACAGTTTTTATCAACGTTACTCTCATGAATATAAACTGTGAACATTGATTTAGATCGATTTTCTATCAGAACAATTTTTAACTAACATTGATTATGATTTGAGTCATAAATTTAACGAATGAATATCAAAAGGGGATAATAAAACGAACTGTATCTCCTAACGAACGAGTCTATCAAGGTTTTATGATGAGTATGTGGCTGCCTAGTGGACATATAAGAAGAGAGAGAAACACGGACAAAACACATATCTGACATGATTAATGAAGACTCAGTTCATTTTTTAAATGACTTAAATAATCATATGTAGAGCAGAAAACTAAATTGTTGCATGTCAATACAGAATCTTTTTAGAGAAAGCTTCCTCGTATACAATTTTATTTCTGTATTGACATAGATTGAAATTCTTACGTGAACTTACATGTTTCTTTTTGTTGTAAACCAATAAATGATTCATGAATGTACCGTACTGGTCAGAAGTTCCCGCTTTCGTTGAATTTCATTAGAAAGAAGCGAGTCAATGAAAAAATTTTTACTATGTAAAAGTTTATAAGTACATTATGATTATTAACATAATTTAAAGCCACTATGACTTTCAACAAGTTTAGCCATTCGATTAATCATGTAACGTACGAGTTTGATGGCTAAGTCCGACAAAGTCGATTATATTTCGCTCCTGTTTCATTTATGCACTGTCGTATCGTTATCTCATTGTACATGACTGATCTCATTGTCAATTGGTTTGCGATATTTTGGCTTGTGACGAACATTTGTTGTTCGAAGAGCGAAATAATTTGTTGATTTTGTTTTGATATCGTTGTACGTGGTTGATGGGATCGAATTGAATCAGTCAAGACTTTTGACTGATTCCATCACGTGAGGCAATATTTTATTGTCGTCACTTCATAATGGACTAATTTTGCTATAGCTTTATGTCTAAACTTTTGACCCAACGAATATTGAAATAAAAAGAAACTGATTCGTATCCCTGGTACATTGGTAAAACCATATTTCAGGGGTATATTAGAGCTAATGATTAGCAGCAACCGAAAAGGAATGAAAATTGACTCAGTCAGGACGTGACAAAAGCTCCTTATTTATATATTTTCAATTTTTATAGAAATAAAGTTTTAGTGATAAGAAAAAAATACATGAACTTATTTTTTGGAAACGATCAAATAATAAAAATTAATTCTTCTTCTTTGTTCTACACCAATTTACTTCGGTAAGACGAAGATGAAATGATCAATCGTTGACCTCCAGAACTTAATTTTATTTGTTTAAAAAGAGGATGAAGCCATTCAATAGCTTCGATATTGACCGAATAATTGTCACTCAATGGTAAATCATCGAGCCAAATACTAGTATAAAATTGATGTAGACTAGGTAAATGTCGATGAAGAGTATATGCTATTCGTTCAATATGTATTTTATTAGTATTACATCGAGGGCTAATAATTGATAAATAGGTAACATTTGGTACAAATGCCAATATTGAATCGATTGTTTCAATAGACATCTGATCAACACTATCAAATATAAGTGTGTGTAGATTTTTATGTGGCATTAATGACCATTCTTTAAAAATGTTAGAATCAATTTTAGCATTGTCAAAATATTTAATTGATAATTGATTAAGATTTGGACATAAGAAGAGTAGAGAAACAATATCTTCGGAATACTTTGTAAATATTTTTAGTGAAACTAAAGTTGGTAGAATGGTAGAATATGAACGGATGATTGATCTATTTCCTATGAAATTTTCTAGATAACACGAATGTAATTGAGGAAAACCATTTATAAAAATATGTTTGAGAAGTTGTTGAGTATCACCTTCATACAATGAATGACCAATATATAAATGTTCTAGTTGAGATTGATTTATTGTTTGATTACATTGTTGTTTAGTAGGCCATTGAAGTTTTAATGCGCGTAGTTTAGGATAACGATTTAGATCAATTTTATTTGAATGTCGAATAACTAATGTTGTGATACGATGTGCAAATGCTGAATCATCAATCTTTTCAAGTTCTAATTGTTCGAAATGAAATTCTTGTAATGACTCAATAATTTTTGTTAATCTTAAATTAAGTCCAAAAAATGTTTTGTATAAATCTTGAATAGGAAGATATTCAAAAATATCTATTAATAATTCATTAGGCAATCCTTCAAAAGTTGATGATCTATCCATTATGTATTGAGTTTTTTTTTCTTCAAACTGGAATATATATTTATATTAAAAGCAAGTATATTTGATGAAATGTAATGTGCACATGAAAAAAAAATATGACTCGACTGTTCTCGATGCTTCTATAAAGAACAAATCAATATTGGTCATGTATACTTTGTCTTGTGCAATTTTCTTTCAGTTGTTCTCTTACCCTGGTATGTGACTCAAAACTCTCGTCATCCGAATCATTTCATAAGACAATGACAGCAACAATTAGATCAACATTGTTTTTATTAGAAAAGAGTACATGGTTATTCAAGACTTGAAGATATTCCAAATGTCTTTCGTATATATTCATGTTTTTTATTCTTATTTAAGTCACACCAAAAATGTTCTTGTTGACAGCAGGAAGCATAAAATATTTTATAATCGAATGGACTTTATAAGATTAAAAACTTGAATGTTTAATGATGAGATTTACAAAAAAAATCCTTAGTGAGATATTATTGACATCTTTAAGTCATGTCATATTTTCTAACACGAAAGAAAACGGCGAATTCCCAAGAGGCCGAATCTTTCGACATACAACAGGAATCCTTGGAACAGTGGAAGTATGACTAAATCTTGGGATTACGATATGCTCAGAAACCAGAGTACGTCAAGAAAAAAGTGCGCATAGATAAATAATAAATTCTTCAGTCTAAAATAGAACGTTATGACTCTGTCGTATGATGCACAAAGAATATCAAACGAGGAGCATCTTTATTGCATGCTTTATAAATTGCTTGAGTTGTTAATTCTAGTTGAAAAGCTAAAAGTACCGTCTCACACCAAGAAAGAATCAAAGTTAATATAAAAAAATCAGTGAATAGACTACAATTCTCTCTTTTGCATTGATTATTTTCTGATCTGAGATCAAATATCATCTGTTGGTACATTTGTGTTGCAAATCGGTTTACTTTTATTTTCAAAGGATAATTTTCAATACAGTAGCCAACCAAATTGTTGGCTTAGCTAAAGCAAATTATTTAAAATTTTTTGATAATGATGTGTGAAAAGGAACAATTATAATATCTTTTCCTGCACTAGCGGCTTTTATAATATCTAAAAAGACAAGAATGTAAATATTCTCGAATGATGTGATCGAATTATAACAGATACTGTCTACTAATGGCAAATTGCTTGCCAATTATTGTTTTGATATGAAGCAGAATTAGAACAAGTACAAATATAGCAAGTAAACGTAATTCAATTATAAATGACTCCCGCACTTATACTTAAGTACAAAAAAGTATCTATTTTATATTTTTTTCTTAATGCATAAATATAAAATATCGTTAGTAATGGTGTCTACTTCTAATTAAGCTGTCAGGACTATTGTAGCATTATCTGCTCAAAAGTTACATGAAAATAAGAAGATGGCAATTTAAATTTTTTCCTTCATACATACGTTGGTGAAGTCACTACAGGGCTCTTGTAGAAATCGTCCAGGGTCATCGTTCAAGTTTCTTCAAAATGAAGAATTATGTTTCTGAATGATGATACTCATCTGAGTCATGATCACAGCTTTGTCATATTCTTCATGGCATTTAGAAGACTCTAGTTGAATTCAAATTGAAGTTCTCCTAGCACAAACAGATCATCGTTTCGCTGAATATTCGAATCATTGATATCAGTTTTTAAATCATAACTACAAACATTTTAATGAGGAAGTTCGATGAAAGATTCCTTGAATATATAATAGACCTCTCTAAAAATAGGACGAAAACTATAAATTCTTCGTAAAAATATTGATCTATACCATCGAATGAATGAAGGTTTCGAAGAAACAAAAATATTTAAAATTAAAAAACTATTTCGCATTCTAAGTAAAAGTGCGCAAGTCAATTTTTGTATTAAAATGTAATTACGAAACTATATGCCTCAATTTACGAGCATAAATCTCAAGTACTTTTCTCAAGGTGCAAATACAAGTACAAACACTTTTATCCAAACTTTGATATGAAATATAGAGTTTACGATTGGATGAATTCATATAGATATTGTATACAAGAGTAGACGCCTGAAATACAAATAAAACCTTAATAGAAAGATACATCCACGAGACTGAAATTCACCGCTGGATTAGTATGATAGTTATTCTTTACTTTTCTTTCGTATTCACTGGAATATATTGTAACTAATATTTTTCATTATCGATTTGAATTTATAAACCGAAACATATATATTAATTAATCTTCTGTTATATATCTACTAGCATTGATATTGATGACTTCAAGTCAGTAATCTGATACGAGGTCAAAAACATGAACATTGCTATATCAAACCTAGATAGATGTGTTTTGGAAGTGAAAATTTTCATCATTTGATTATCTCATTGACTTTCTTACATATTCTATCGAATAATATCATAAAATATAATTTTATCATGTTCGGAACAATCATGGTATACTCAAGTCAGCCTTTTCATTGAATTCTTTTGTACTTTCATTTGTCATGATACTCTTTAATTACAAGATTAATTTGATTTTGTTCATTGTAGAGGAACAAAAAAAAAAAGAGTCCTCCTTTCTTATTCTTTGTCACTCACAAAATACGACAAATACTGACTGGCAAAAAAGAAAAAAAATATATGATTAAGAACAAAGACACTCCACACTGATAAAAACTAAGTCACATCACAATACACAATTAAATATAATAATTAATAATATTGTTAGTAATAAAATCTCACTGCTTATGTCCAACACTTACATAAACATAGAGATACAGCAAAGGAAAACAACAAAATAGAACACATCGAGATTCAGTAAACAGAAATATTAGAAGAAAATCCGTTAAAGAATATCAGTACAAAGTATATGCGTGTATATAGGAGAAATTTAAAAAAAACAATGTTTATATGTGTGCGTTGAGCATGATGTATTGTTAGGGTATTTAAAAAAGAAGAAAAGAAATAAAAACATATTCGTTTCGGTCTTTATTTTTATACAGCCACCGTCATCTTCTTTTGAATATCGTCAATTAATGAATCTCCAACACACTAAAAAATGAATAATAAGAATAATAAAAGAAACTTTGTATAAATAAGAATAACAACATTATATTTACATAAATAAATACAACAATTAGAATAACAATACTTATCGAACAGACAACAGAAAATTTACCCATGATAATTTAGATTTTGATATTACTCGGTAGACTTATGTTCAGCTCATAAGTAGGGATAAACTAGAAGAAGGATGTACAGCACAAAAGTCATATAAATATATATCTATTTATATTTATTAGTAAATAAAGATAATGAGTAAAACTTGAAGATAAAGAAGAAGAAGAAGAAGCAGAGCAACGCAAATTTCGAAAAAAAAATCTAAGAATTAAAAAGAACAAGATACGTACGGCACAGAATTCATCAAAACTTATTTTACCATCACCATCTTTATCTGCATTGATAATTGTCTATTTAATTAAAATTAAATTAAATTGAAGAAAATCTCTCTTAATAAAAACATATCAATTATATTTACTTTATCAACAATTTGTTGTAATTGAGAATCTTTTAAATTCGATCCAACCATCATTTTTAGTACTTGAAATAATTCTCCTATAAATAAAAAATAATAATTTCAATTAGATTCATTTCATCTATTGCATAATTCTCAATACGAAATAAATCCAATTGAAATGTTAGACTAAATTAATTTTACTAATTGCTAAAAACAAAAAATGATATAAATATGACATTGATATAGAGTAACGAGTAGAGATAGAACAGTAACAATGATCATCGATACACTATTCTAAATAGTGACGTATAGAATAACGGTAGATGCGTAATAAGACTATGGTGGTGTTAAATTCATTTCGACTTTTTCGATCGGAGGAAGTCTATTTTAAGAATATAGCCGAATTTTATAAAACATGAGAATAGTGCCTTTCTCGAACTCGAGAATTGTACACCAATTTACTGTTACACCCCTACGGCTGAGTGAAACGATTTTAGTTTCTATCGAATCGACTCATGTCTAGTTTTTCAAAAAAGAAATTACATTCTGTCAATGTCGATCGTCATCATCTATTTGTCATGGATAAATAGATCCCAAGATTCTTCGAATTCTCTTTTAATACTCTTCTGTAAATCTTGCTTCATTAGTTTGGTTTGCAGAAAAAGAAAAACATTCGATTCTACGATAAACAAAAATAAAAATTAATTACCATTAGAAATAAATCCATCCTTATCCATATCATAAATTTTAAAAGCAACTAAAATACAATATTAATCGTTTTATTTATTTATTTTTTTTTTGTACGTAAATATACATACATTTAAGTTTTGATTCTTTATCCCCTTTAACACTAAATTGTGAAATACCACCAATGAATTCTAAAAAAAATTTGAAATATATTCTTAAATTTCAAAGAAACATAATCTTTTCATATTAAACTACCTTTAAAATCAATTTCACCGTTACCATCGGTATCAAATATATCAATAACACGTTGTACAAGTGGATTTTGTTGTAATTCAGGTATAGACATAAATTCTTGTACACTTAATGAACCACTACCATCAATATCGAGCTTTTTAAAACGTTTACCTAATCGACGTATTTCATCAGCATCAACTATAAAAAAAAACAAACAACTAATAAAAATAAGCAAAATAAAAACTAATTTTACATGTAGCACATAGCTCAACGGGTATTGATGTCATATTCCCCTGAGAAAAGAAATAGTTAAACAACAATATATAATAGATTTTCTTCATACCATGATGATGTTTTAATTAAATTCAATATCAGTTAGACCGTTGTAAACGAACTATGTTTTTCCAAAAATGGATAACCTACAAATAATCTACCATTTTATTTATTATTATCAAGAACCTCGATGATGATGATTTATTAATCATATTCAAGCAGAAGAGGTCGCTTTCCTGAACAATCAGGAATATTGTTGAATGAGTCAAAAAGAAAACTTCTTTTTAGTTTATTTGGAAGTTTCTTTATGTCGCAATT